AGGGACTGCTTACCCATCGATGGGAAGATCTTCCCATCGCTGGGTGGCATGATTCTGGAATCCCGGGATCACTTACCCATGCATGGGTGAAATCTACCATCGCTGGGTAGATGGCTAGCCCAGAACCATGGCCTAGCTGACCGGCGCTGAAACCCGACCGAAAAATGCAAAGTTCTCCAAAGTAAAAACTAAGTATATAAAACACTTATTTAATGTATTTTGATGTCAAAACAAGCTTTGTAAGTTGAAAACCACGTCGTTAAGGTAAAAACCACGGTTGACCAAGTCAACACCGTACACGGGTGGTTTTCACCAAAAGACAAAACCGAAAGGTGGTTTTCATGATGTTTTGATTGGAGAACCATTTAAATGCATTCAAAAACAATTACCACACAAAAAGACTCGAAAACCACTTCATTTAAGTAAAAACCGCGGCTAGCCAAGTTTATGCCGTTTCGCGTGGTTTTTATCAAACGACAAAAAACGAAAGGTGGTTTTTGAAGAGTTTTTTATGGAAAACTATTTAAATGTGCCCAGAAGTAAAAACCAATCATAAAAATTTGAAAACCGCTTGGTTGGTTCGGACGCCAAAAACCAATGCCGATAACTGAATGCCGAATGCCGGTTTCCGAAAGCCGAACGCCGGATGGCTTGGTTTTTGGTTTGGGCGAACACCAAGTGTTTTTAATATGTTTAAGCATGTTTGAGAATAATTTTGATGATATGTAAAATGCAATAAAAAAATGTTTTAGCCTAAAGAGCCAAAGTGCAAAGTTTGGGTCGGTCTTGATCACATTGTGACCGACTCAACGATGCTAAAGACTACGGTCTCCGTTCTTGATCTCTTTTAGCTCTTGTTCTCTTGCTTTCCTCTTATATTTATTTCTCGCCTTGTATATTCAACAACTTGTCTCATTCACGGCGGTTTGGCATTATCAAAACCTGTCATAAAAACGAACACGGCTTAAGTACGAAAACACGTTAAACCCGTGTTTCAACAATCTATACGAACATTCTAGTCACTAGATATATCTACGGGCTTACCTCAAAGTGAAACGATGATTTTTGCGGAAAAACGGCGAAACTTCTAGCGAACACCACGGCTTGCTCCGGCGACTTCTCGCGAAATTGACAGCACCACTGCGTCCTCCACACTCAAGGCTATCTCTCAGAACAAATTTGATGAAGAATGGTGAAGAGATGGTGAAGTTGGGTTTCTTATATAGCAAGAGGAAGAGGAAGGAGACATTCTTCCTGGCGTCATTCTCCCTGTGCGTTCGGCGTAGTGGAAGGAGCGGCGATTCCTTCGGAATTTAAACGCAAGTCCCTGATTGGGACTAATTTTGGTCCTAGTCGAGGTACACTTTTTGGTCCAACTTTCTCGGAATTGGAATCCGTTTGCACCGTTGCGATCGGACAGTTAAATTCTATCCAACGATATAACTTTTATATTTATTTGTAATACTTTTTCTGACATCATATTTTTGGGTGGTTGACTTTGATAGAGTAAAAATTGATTTTATTGACCTTTACTCAGAAAGGTTCTTACATTTCATTCATATTATTTATTCTCATGATTTATTTTAATAAATCATTTCAAAGTTTACATCACAAACAAATTCTTCATTTATTATTGATTTGGGTCTGTACTCAGGTTCTCAATCAAGGTCACACAATAAGTCAACATATTGGATTTATCTCTATGAGACTTATCCAGCTTTTGATATTGGATATTAAAACATATTTCATTTCGGCCCAAAGCCCAACAATTATTATTATTATTATTATTAATCAAAACAATTTGATTAATTGATTATTTATTTATTAATAATTCTAGGGTATGTTTTGGAGCGTTACTAGTTTTGTAAATAATCTAGCTAAAACAGAGAAATGAAAAAACTAGATTAAAAATTGTTAGACAAGGCGTGACACTCTAGAGGGGGGGTGAATAGAGTTGTTGAGAATGTTTATCGATTTTCGCAGGATTAATAATATAAACGTAATTGCAGCGGAAATAAAAGAGAGAAGGCAAAGAACACACTAATGTATACTGGTTCACCACCTCGTGGCTAGTCCAGTTCCCCGAGAGACTCTCTCGAAGCTACAACTACTCCGTTAAGCTTACGGGTGCTTAACAAACCGTTTACAACTCGAGAACTTGAATCTCACAAGCCTCGACATAACCGCTCGTAGATATGCCCTCTACAAGACTTTACACCCAAGACTTAAGTCGCATAAGTCTTGTACACCAAGAAGAACACTCTTCCTTAACCTCTCAACAATAGCTCTCAAAAGACTAGGAATGAGAAATGATTAAAGCTCTAATGGTTGACAAAACACTCTCTTGAAAACACTTAGTTTTCTCTCAAAATATATCAATTTGAGGAGGAATTGAATGGAGGATTATAACCTCAAGATAGGGGAGTTTAGGAGTGTTTGTTCATAGTAAAAATGACCCAGGAAAGGAGTTTATAAAGGGGGTTGAAGGAATATGTCCGTTGGAGCTTAGAAAAAAGAGTTTGCTGAATTTTTAACACAAAAAATCGATTTTTATACGCAAATAATCGATTTTTTTGCTTCTGAGCAAAATTCCTTCAGCAGATGAAATGATAATCGATTTTTGCCAAAGTGTGAAAATCGATTTTTGAAGCAATTGTGCCCAAACATAAAGTACACAATCATGTGTGCGAGGTGAAGTGCTATTTTGGATTTAAGCACTTGTTTAGGACATGAAAATCATATCAATGGGCTCCCCAATCAACATACATAATTCAAATTCAAAATTTGAATTATGAGAATATATTTTTGGTGTAGAAAAATGAGTCCCAAAAATATTTTGTGTGTCAAATGGTGTACACGAAAAATATTTGAATAAAATATTTTTGCTTACCAAAAATATTTTCTAATATCAAAATAAATATTTTGATAAATGTTTGACACACCTTTTGTAAATGACTCAATGAATGTATTTTGAACAATTAAAAGGATTTTTCAACCGACTCCAAAAATATATTATTTTTATATTAACTGTCATAAAAATAATTTTGGAGAGAAGATATTTTTGTCATCCTTACAATTATTCCTACGACTCAAATTAATAAAAAGGTCTTCGGAAATCTTCTACTCCTTCGAGTCCTCCGTTAGGCGCTCCGAACGCGTCTCGGACTCCAATAAAATCATGTGCACCTTCTTGAATACGTCAAGGAATGACACTTCAAGTCTTCGTGTTTGTCGTTGTAGCACTTTGATCTTGACTTGAATAAATTGTGTTTGTCAATTATCAAAACCTGTGAGTCAATACTTAACAACACAGAAAGGGTTGAACTGATGGATTCCAACAAAAATAAGTAGCTAAGACCTACTTATTTTTTTCAGCTTATAAGTGAGCTTATAAGCACGCAAGGACATATCATTAGTTGATTTATAAGTTAAAACTACTTATAAGCAGTTTTGACCAGCTTATAAGCACAGAGAAATTTTTAGCTTGTAGTTGTAGTATTCAACTTTCATTATTTAAATAACAACTACATTCTTAGAATTTATAAAAAGCTAAAAATTTCTTTTACATTACATATAATATTATATTATTCATATATTAGATTTAGAAAGAAAAAAATAAGAATTGAGAACTAGCTAAGAACCGGAACCGCCGGTTCCGGGACTGGCTAGGGAACCGGCTTGGCCGACTACGGCTATGGTGCCAGTGAGGGGTGGTGCCGGAACCGGCCCGTGTCTATCCCTTCTTGGGGGTCTTCGTAGTTATGATAAGATTGGTTCATTAAGCAATTTCTTTGAAAATGAAGCAACTGGTGCTCCAGATAAGCTTCACATCATCTTTTCTAGGTGAAACAACTTATAAAGAATTTTAGATTATAGATGCTCAAGTTTTATTAATATTTTTTTTTTCGAAATTTAGAAAACATACTTTATTATAGAGTATTTGTTTGTAATGTATTTTGTGCGCTCAGCTCGGCCGTTCTGTTGACTGGTGTGAGGACACGAGAAACGAAAGAGGATGCCTAAGGAGTCAAAAATATTTTTAAGTGGTGAATTACGATATTCTGTTCCATTGTCACATTGAACTGCTTTTATTGTTGTATTAAAATGATTTTTGACATATGCTACAAAAGAGGTTAAACTATTAAAAGCATCACTTTTATGTCTTAGAAGAAAAACCCAAAGGTAATGAGAGAAATCATCCAACAATAACATATAAAATTTAAAACCAGTTATACTCGGAACAGGAGACTGCCATAAATCAGTATGTAAAAGTTGAAACGGAAACATGGAAACACGACTAGAAGAATAAAATGGGAGGCGCACATGCTTTCCCAATTGACATGCATGACATAGAGAATGTTGGTAACTTTTAAAAAAAGGAAGAGAAGAAATATTGCTAAGGACATTGTGACTCGCATGGCCTAGGCACCGGTGCCAGGTCTGGAGATCGACAGCGGCGACGTTGGCTTGAGCAGGAGCTGGGCGTCCTAGGGGGTAGAGGGGTCCCATATCATTGGATTGATGCATCACGGTGACCGTCCGACGATCCTTCACAGAAAAACCATTAGAGTCAAATTCAACTGTACAGTTATTGTCGCGAGTGAGTTGACGGACAGAGATAAGGTTGTGAGTGATGTGAGAAGAGATAAGGATATTTTTAAGGGACAAGGAAGGGGTAGTGGGGAGGGTATGGTTACCAACAGCCGTAGTGCTAACTTTAGATCCATTACCAACAGTGATATATAATGGTGAATATAAAGATTGAGAATTAACATGAGAAATAGTACCTGGGTCAGAGGCAATATGATGGGATGCACCGGTGTCCATATACCAATTGGGTTCACGGAGGGACATAGTGTCGAAGTGATGGGCTAGGGCTGTAGGGGNGGGGGCTAGGGTGTAGTGGGCGTGGGCGGGGTTGGGGTGGGTAAGGCGGGGGCCTAAAAGACCCGGGTTAGGGTTAGGGTACGGTGAGTTCTAGGTATTGTTTCCGTCGTAGGATTGCCGCGGTCGTGAGCCTTTTTGACGTCCGCGACCTCGGCCCCGATTTCCACCGCCACGGCCTTGTCCTCGTCCATAGCCTCCACGTTGACTGGAGTTGCCTTCCCCATAGCCTGTGCCGCCATGCTGTCCGCCATAGCCGCCGGGAGTACCGCCGTGAGTGCCGCCGGCTCGGGTCGTGAGGAGCGCCGTGGTGCCTGAGTCGGAGGTACTCGTCCATTGTGGATCAAGTAGCATGAGGGAAGATCGAACCTGCAGAAACGTGGGCATGGGATCCTGAAATTGCATGAATGCTGTTTGTGCCTGGAGATCGGCTGGGAGACCACGAAGCATTTGAAGGACGAGTTGGTGTTGGGAGACTGGTGCATCGACATCATCCAACTAGTCGGCAAGATTCTGCAGTTGTTGACAATAAGCTGCCATGGTGGAGTTGCCCTTGACTGTGGTACGGAATTCGTGCTCCTATTGCATGGCTCGGGCATGTTTGTTGTCGTGGAACAAGTCGTGGATGACTTTCCAGAGAGCAGAGGCAGTAGAGACGGAGGAGATGACCAGATCTGATACCTCATCGGTGATGGTGGAGAGGATCCAACCCTGGAGGAGAGCGTCGAGTTGGAACCATTCGTCGTCGTCATCGGAGAGGGGGACGACGGAGCCATCGATGTAGCCCTTGAGGTTGAACCGCCGAACCAGGAGAAGGAAGAGGCGGCTCCACTTTTTGAAATTAGGTTGGGAGAGACTGAGTTGAACGGGGACATGAAGTTTCACATTAGAGACAGTTGTGAATGCAAGATGAGGAGGTTTGGAGGAGATATTTTGGGAAGTGACCTCGCTGTTTTCGGCCATGGTGAGAGGGAGAAGATGACCGTCGAGGGGGGGGGGGGGTCGCCGGTGAAGAGAACCGCCAAAGGGGAGGGGTGGCGCTGCCGAGAGTGACGGCGAGAGAGGGCCGAACGAGAGAGAGAGGAGGTGGGTTTAGGGTTTTTTATTTTTAGGCTCTGATACCATGTAGAAAAGTTAATTTCATTGATTGAATATGTGGGAGTACATGTCTATATATATACACAAGGATTCCTAATCCTATACAAGGTAGGAGACAATAATAGGAAACAATATTTTTACATTAAATATAGAATATATATTTAACACAGAGTTCATTAGTTGTTTTAATATGAAACTGAATGAGCCTTTTGTGAATTTGATCAAACTCACTTATGAATGTTGAGAATCTGAAATCTTCACAATTACTTTATCTAATTACACCCTTTGTTTCATACATAAACACAGGCATTCTGAGTGTACCCTTTGTTCTTAATTAACATTTCTACAAGTATGTGAGACAGCACAAACACCTAACCCCATGAAAGAAAATTGTGCACTTATTATACCTACATGAACTTATTATTCATTGATCTGATGAAGAAACCAAAAAAAAAAGCAATGACTGCCTTTTCCATGTAATCAATGAATGCTAACGTCGTAAAGATCCGGAAGAAGTTTTCTGGTGGGAGAGGAACCATCAAGATGATGATGTTCATCCTTTGAAGCAAAAGATTGTGAGGAACCAGACCACGGGGCTCCCACTGAAACACTCCTCTGCAACTGACTAGTGGTGTCCTGAGAATATGTGGACGAAGAATTGGTATGGCTGTCCTGTGACAGTTTCTCCAATGCTTTAAACCTGGGGTCGCCGTTTGGCTTCCCAGGCCTGATTGCGGGAGCTTGCACAGCCATCTTTCCCTCCAGCATCTTCACCACAGAAGACATGGATGGCCTGAGAGATGGCGATGGGTTGGCGCATAAAAGGGCCAATCTCAGCATTCTCATTGCTTCCTTTTTGGAGTAGTTGGAGCCCAGGCTCTGATCCACAAGTTCTAGCAGATTTCCTTGTTCTTCGAGGACATATGCCTTCATTTTACAAGCGAAAAAAAGTGGGTATTATTATAAAGAAGAAGTTGTAACGTTGGAGGAAAAGAAGAAGAAAGAAAGACAGAGATCATATACGAGGCTTTTACCCAATCAAGAAGGTACACAAACTCCTCTTTCGGTCTGTAATTTGTGTTGCTTTTCCCGCTAACAATTTCCAATGCAACTATTCCAAAGCTGTAAACATCTGCTTTGTCTGTCAAATATCCTCTCATTGCGTATTCCGGAGCCATATATCCTCTGAAAGATAAGGTCAAAAGAACAAGAGGTTTAGGGTCTCTTTTTTTAACATTGAGAGTAAATTTGGAAAAAATTGAAAGACACATTCGATATTTCAACAACAAACACAGTAAAATCCAAAAAAACATGGGGTCTCTCGAGGGTGATGTGTACACGCTACAGAGAACATAGGGAGGTTGTTTCCAAGAGACCCCAACTCAAACACATTCAAAGTTAGTAATCTTAGATATTTGTTCAAACTCTTATATATTTCTACAACATAAAACACTGAAATTTAGATGTACGCATTATGGAAAAAGGAGACGTACACAGTTCCAGCAATTCGTGTGCTAATGTGGGTATTCTCTTCTTCATCAAGCTTAGCCAAACCAAAATCTGAAATTTTAGCACTTAGATCTTTATCGAGCAGGACATTGGATGCCTTTATATCTCGATGAACGATCTTCAACCTCGATTCCTCATGAAGGTATGCTAAGCCTTTGGCTATTCCCATGCATATTTTCTTCCTAGTTTCCCAGTCTAGACTCAACCTCTGATCCGGGCGTCCTTATGGTGGAAAGGCAAAGATTTTAGCCAGAAAAAATGAAGGGGATATCACTTAAAAAGAGAATTAATGATTTTACCAAAAAGGGCTCGAGACAGACAGTTGTTTTCCATGTATTCATATATCAGTAAGAGCTGGTTTCCTTCTATGCAACAACCGTAAAGCTTCACGAGGTTTGGATGTTGCAAAGCTGATATCATTCCTATCTCATTGACGAATTCCCTGTTTCCTTGCTTCGACTTGGAAGATAGTTGCTTGACTGCAACAACTCCACCATCCGAAAGAATACCCTGCAATCAAGTGTGATGTGAGATTCAGTCAATGGAAAAGAAACAAAATGAATGGTAAGAGCGACAAATGAGTATCTATACCTTGTAAACTGGGCCAAATCCTCCTTCACCAATTTTATTAGCTGGGTCAAAGTTATTTGTAGCAGTCTTAACCTGTCTAAGAGTGAAATAACCCGTCTGTAGATCAAGCGTTCTCAGTTCTGTCGTACAAAAACATGGTTAATAGAAGTGTTGAAAAAACCCTAAAAGAGAACATATTTTTTCAATCAATGAAAAGCTTAAAACACATTACCGTTGTCCTCTTCAACTTTGCCCCCCAAGTACCCTCTCAACCATAGAACAACTAATATTAACAAGACGAACACGCAGCAAGAGATTGAGATGCCAACTATTGCTCCAACACCTAGCCCTTTATTGGTTTTGAAGTCTAAAAGAAATAAAACATTTTTTTAAAATCATAAACTATTGAGAGAAAAGGGTAATGTATAAGGAAGCTGAGATGCTCTACTAACTTGGAGTGATTGTAATGGCAGAAATCAATGGACCATATACACTTCTCATAGGAATAGCATTAGTTCCTTTTCCAGTCCAATACAAGTGTATCTCTAAGCTGCTACCATTGACAAGAACATTGTCAAACTCCTTTGTGATTGCAATCCCAGCACCCTTAGCATCTTCCGCGATGTTAAAGTCTGTCAAGACCACATTCCCCTACAGAGGAGGTGAAAGAAACCAAATAAACACAATTCCCTGAATTTAATCAAACCCTAGGGTCTGTTTGGATTTCCTAATGATGTGAAGAAAGAGTGCTTTGTTTTTTTACTAACTTGGATTGATACATCAAATAGTCGCCTCCCAAGACTGCTATAGGAAGAGTTGTTAGAGAACATTATTTCCGCAAAGTGGAGGCGAACTTTATAACTCCCTTGTCGCATGCAAAACCCGTAATACTTGAGTGAAGTTGGAGCAAGCCGAGCTGTTTTGTAAATATCATGAATGAATGTATAGGATAGAGTGTTTGTTGCAAGATATTTGACATCATCATTTGCTATGAACACTCCTGAGCTACTGTAACCCCATCTATCCGATGACGTGTACAAGTAAGACGGGCCTCCTTGGGTTGAGTCTGCTTCATAGGTTTTACCCTCAAATGATACAGCACTCCCTCCTCCACAGTTTATATACAGAGAGTCATCTGCATGCAGACAAATTAAATTCCTTATAAGATTCTTTTGTAAATTATTCCACTAAGTAACTGTTACGATTTTTGCATAGAAAGAGTAGAGTTGGTAGGCGTACATTGAGCTCCTCCTGCACATGGGAGGTCTTTCTTCAAGCACCAATTGCCACTGCAGTATTCCATAAATGGGATCGAATCTCTTAGTTTTGGTAAATAAATGTAACAGAATGAAATACAATGTACGGACAACAACAACAACAGCAGCAGCAACAACAAACCCTTCTAAAATCTACAAAAACGTAGGGTCTGTGGAGGGTGTGTATATGCAGACCTTACCCTTAGTCGAAAGTAGAGAAGTTGTTTCCAAGAGTAGGAAAAATGTATGGAGTGAAGAATAAAAATGTAACTTACGAGTCACTATTAGCCACTGAATAGCTAGAGAGAGTAGAGACTAAGTTCCTGGAAGGAAAAGAAAACACAGCAATTTAACAAGTAATCACATAATGCTTTCAGTTTAGCTGTATAACAATGGGGTGGAGACTTACAAAGTAGAGGTCTGGCAACCTACTGCAGATGATTCTGTGAAATTGTTGTAGGATAAATCGCTGCAAAAACACTTTAATGTAAAACTGAAAAAATGGTGCCCTAATGGTAATCAAAACTTGTGCTCCTACTTACATGGAATATTTGGTGTCAACCCAACTTGGTATTGCTCCACTTAACATGTTATGCGCCAGAAGCCTAAATCAATGGGAAAAAAAGTATATCTATGAAGATGATCAACTGCTATTTTAACAAACAACAGTAATAGTAATTCTATAGACCTCTATGCTGTCTTTTACGAAATAATAAAAAGGCGGTAAATAATTGTGTATGTCTGTCATATCAAGTGAGAGTTGAGAAAACAAGAAAACAAACATGTTCACATTTATTTTCTTTCCAAAAAAACAAAGAGGTTGATTCTATTGGACCCTTGATGAATTGTTGCATTTACTTCCAAAATTTCATAGAAAGTAGGAAGCAAGGAAAGTTTAGAGCGTCATTTTGATTTAGTGTATGATTTACCTGAAGCTAAAACATTGTAAAAAGACATCAGAGTGAAAAGTATTATACAGAATTTCATGATGATAATAATAAACACAACAGCAACTGGCAGCTTAGTAAGATGTGTGTTACACTTACCAACTTTTAAATTTTTTGTTCTGAACATTTGGGATTGGACCACTCAGCATGTTGAAACTAAGATCCCTGAAAATGGATGTATCACTAAGCAAAATTACCATAAAAACCACATGGCTGCAGATGGCCATTTTTGTGTTAGGCTCTCAAGCTAGTTTGACTTTTCCAAAATGTCTACCTCCCTAACATCTATTGTTTTTAAGAGCCTATAATCTTGGTAGCATTTTGCCTCCAAATGTTAGGGAATTGTAAGGATTGCATGTGAGTGATGAACATAATATGATCGATTTAAGTTGGTGACATTAAGAAATCGAGTGTGACCTGTCAAGCAGCAAAAGGAAAAAAAACAAAACTCTTATTGGAAACGAACTCACAAAGTTTTTAAAATGGGCATATTTCCTATGTATTCTGGGATTTCGCCAACAATTGAACAATTCCTCAGGACTCTGCATTCAAAGGTGCATTAAAGAATACAGTTCAACAAAGAGAAGAGATTCAGAATAACAAAAGAAGTTAGATTATCCTACTCACAATCTTTCAATATTTTCCATGCCCTCCAAGTTTGGGAATTGTCTTTTTTCTCCTCTTAAGCCAGAAATTATCCTGACACAAAAGATCTATCAAATTAAAGTTTCATATTCCTCAGCGAGATTAGCTCTTTTTGTTCTCATTTTCCCATTTTCCATATTTAGAGACAGAAAATTCACGTTCACCTTTTCTATTTTCAATATTCAAGAAACAGAAAAGTTGTGCTCACAATATTGTTAGGTTTTTCAATGTAGATATACTTTGAGGAATTGGCCCCCCTAGCAATGTTCCTTGCATGTATCTGCAACCATTTTGATAATAAATTCTCTCGATCAAGATGCCATATAAGAGCTGCAACTTTTTTAACATAAAGGTTATTTATCACCAGTATCCTCAGCATACTTACAATTTTTCCAGGTTTGTCCAGTTGCCAATAAAGTCAGGAAAATTACCAGATATTGGGTTTCCGTCTATCCTACTGCAGAACAAAAAAAGGAAAAGAAAAAAATTGTACTTTATAAAATTTAATTCTTAAAAAAAAACTCACATTCTTTAACTTTCAACACTTACAAGTCTGTCATGTTCTTAAGCTTGCCAAAAGATTCTGGTATAACCCCACTGACATTGTTGCCAGATATAAGGCTGCAGCAAAGTTATACAAAATGCATAACTAATTAAGTATTTAATACTCCATACATAATGATAACAAACATAAACTTCGATGTGTTTTACTTACAGTCTCCTGAGTCGACTCAAATTTCCAAGACTTTGATCAAGAGGTCCTTGAATCTCATTGTCTTGCAAAACTCTAAGGAATCAACTCATAAATATAATACCACCAATTTCCAGAATGAGATGACCAACACTACAAGTAAAAAGTTATTTACTTACAACTCCTCCAATGTAGATATGTCAGCTATCTCCTTTGGTATCTTTCCACTAATGCGGTTTCCCAAAAGCGACCTATAGTAATGTAGAATGTAAGTAAAACAGGCTGCGGTGAGTAAATAAAACAGAAGAGTATAGAGAGAGAGAGAGAGAGAGAGAGAAAGAGAGATTACAAAATAGTGAGATTGCGGAATCGGCCAAAGATAGGGGGAATTGGTCCATTAATGTAATTGCGTGTCAGGTCACTGAAAGGTTTAGTAACAACATCAGTAAAAGCAAATGCATGTAGAAGGGAATAAGTCTGTACTAGTTCCACAAAAACAAATGTCAAATTGACCCAAGAATGCCCTTAAGCTTGCCCCGCTCCTAAAACAAACATTCACACACGTTTTAAAAGAGAGAGACAAAGTTATAGGTACGAACATTTGGCGCAGATATGTTAGATTCACAAACTCTGCGGGGAAAACGCCCTGGAGACTAAGACCTTTCATTACGCTGCATCATTAACAAACTTTAAAAGTTGTAACAATAGAGCTTCAAATAAGGTTTTGATGAGAGATTAGAAGAGAAAGCCATACAAGTCTGTTACATGGCAGAATGTATTGCTACTGATATTGCAATCACATGACACCATCCTAATTCTATCGTTGCTGAAAGGATCATCAGAATCGTTCTTGTTCAGAATTGCCCCACCAGTGCAAGATGTCTGGGTAACATTGGGAAACTTTTTCCCTAATTTTGCAAATATTGTGTTCACAGCTTGCACTGCCACATAATGAATACACAAACTCTAGTCAAATTCAAAAGGATGAACTTAGCAACCAAACAATCTTTAGACTTCAAACTCTAAATTTCAGTTTCAAACTCTAGTTTCAATGATTGGCACTCCTCTAGTCTTCCATTCTCATACTTTATACTTCAATCTTCAGACATAAATTACATACTCAGCACTCTAATGAAAAAAATAGTCAAATTGTTTTGAGATCAGTGGTGTATTAAAGGTCCTATACTTTGTCTTCTTTTTTTTTGAAATCCTTAGTTAATGTGCATTAAATAGTCATTAGTTAGCTTTTAGTTTTGAACTTAAAGAATATATATATATATAAACGGCCTATTCTCAGGCTCACAATATTCTGCCCCCCCTTCATTTTGGTGTCCTTTAATCTATTCTGAGTTTTTGCCTTCACGAAAATATCCTTTGTACACTTTTGAGTAGAGGGTCTATTGGAATTCAGAAATGTGGTAGTTGTAGTTAATAGTTATAGGCTAAGTAAAGGTTTTTATACTCTAACAAGCCCCTTAACTTTTAAAAGCATAAAAAGTTATCCCATATAGTAAGTTGTTATGCCATTAGCACATTAGCCACTGAGATCTTCGAACTTCATCTTCAATAACTCAGACAAAACAAAAAAGAAATATGTAATGGGGGTATCATACTATCATCCATTGATCATTGAAATATTGCCTTGTTTGAATTTAAAGAATAGGGTCAATTTGTTTTCTTCCACAATTGAATTCTATTCACCTATTGGAACTCTACTTAGATTCTCTTACAGATGCCACGGTCCACGGAAGATACTCTACAGTCTAGAGGGGGCATTTGAAAGGCAAGCTAAATGAGTAAGCGAATGAAGATGTAGAATATTAGATAAAATCAAGATAAATCACATGTGCTTTCAAGAGATATTTGTGGAGGCAAAGAAGGCAATGCATCAAGGGTCTAACGGAAAGAGTCTGTCCATTTTCACTTGGATAAAAATGTGTACATCTTGAACCCCTAAGTCCAACGAAGTTGAGATTATACTGGGTTGTATTTCGCGCAAATGAACATCTGACGAACATAGAACAAAAATATAAAATATGGAGTATTCAAAATGAACATTTTGTTGCTTAAAAATGAGTATTAGCCGGTTGAATCTAGAGTTGGGTACAACCGAATGCCCTAAATACGAACTTGCGGCAAATTATATGGAACAACAAGATGTACCTTCGTCTTAGTACATCATGGCAAACTTGTAATTTATAAAATATCTTAGAATGAACATTACATTGTTACAAAACGAACATGTTTCAGAATTAATACTACGCTATTTCAGAATAAACACTATACTGAGCATACTTTAGAATTAACATGTACTATGGTTGAAAATGAACATTTTGTTAATTCAAAATAAACATTCGATTGATTTAAAATGAATATTCATTGAGTATACCCTAGTTCTACGTACAGTCAAGTGTTACGGTATACATTCTCATTGGAATAAGATTAGATCAGGAGTACCTATGCCAATAATACCATACATTTAGATGTACGGTGTTTCCCATACATATACATGAATACACATTTTCGAGTAACCGAATACTCATTTTCGAGCATAACTGAATTTATAAAAAAATCAACTACTCGAAAATGAGTATTCAGTTGTTTGAAAATCTGTATTCAATTATTCATAAATGAATCCTCGCTACAGTTGAACAGGAAACATCGTACAACCAATAAATTTGCACTGTTACCCTCAATACTTTCAAAATATATGTGTTCCCCCTCCTGATCTGATATTCCTATGCCAATGAACCTATGGACTTAATACCTTTCAAACCTTTGGTGAATAGCTATGGTATCCATGTGATTTTGGAAATGGGCACCAACGCCCCCTCAATTTTGTTCTTTATTGTTTCTCTGTTTCTTCTCTTTTTTCATAGATGTTTATAAGTTAAATTTTAAAAACAATTGTTTAAAATATTTTAAAAAATAAAAATTGCTCGGTTTTGAAATATAAAATGAATTTTAAAAAATTAACATATACTCCTACTTCATTTGACTCTAATGAAATATTTTCATTTTTTTTTCTAAAAAAGGTTCATAAGTTTTTGGATCAATTGGACCAAAAGAGCTGCTTTTGATATTCATATGTTAATGGCTATGTAGACTAAAATACCCTTCAAATAGAGTTATAGATACAATCATGTTTAGAAAAATTAGATTTTGCACGTTGTTTGAAGAGTGTAAATAAATTTGAAACAGAGCTAGTAAGAAAATAATTTTAAAAAACTTTAAACCAATTATTTAAAAGAGAGAAGAAAAAAGAGATGGTGTGTTGGTGTCCATTTTCAAAATCACATGGACAGTGGAGCTATTAATGTAATATTTGAAAATCTTTGTCAAGGGGTAGATTAGAATACGAATATTAGAATTAGGAGGAGAAACAACATAAATTTTAAAAAACATGGAGGCATAGTTTTCAGAACCGGACCGGTGACCGAACCGGTCAAGGTACTGGTTCACTGGTCGAACCAGTGGTTTAAACATTTTTAAAAATTATATAAATAAATAAATAAATAAATAAATAAATAAATAAATATACATACATACATACATATACATACATACATACATATATATATATATATATATATATATATATATATATATAAACACATACATATAGATACACACACTTTCTCATTTATAAATATCTAAAGAAAGTAATTTATAACATTTGACTAAAATTATATTAAAATATTTGAGTTATTTTACTAAGTTAAAAAATAAAATTTACATATTAGAAAAAGAATATTTAAAATTTTATAAATGAAGACTTGATTTTATTTTTTCAAATAAGTTGATTAATATTAAAAAAACCTTAAATGAAATTTTTGCATGATATTCATTTTGTAATAATATCAATGCTTTTGTGTTTGATTCATAGCTATATAATATTATATTTTTAAAATTAAAAAGAAATTTTTATACAATCTTTTTTTAATTATGAAATATTATAAAAGAATAAGTGAACTTGTAACAAAAGCATCCTTCCTTGGATGGTTAGAAACTCAACCAAATGACAAAGAGGTCTTAGGTTCAAACCCCCATGGTTGCATGTTTTGGAAAAAATCGCAAAAAAAAAAAAAAAAAAAAAAACTCGTTCGGCCGGTCGAACCGGCCGGTTTAAACCGGTTCCCACCGGTTCGCACCGGTTCGATGCGTGTTACGGTCCAAAGGGCCGGACGGACCGGTTGGACCACCGGTCCGCCGGTTCACGGTCCGAACCGGCCGGTCCGGTCCGATTTTTAAAACTATGCATGGATGTAACGTACACAATTATCAAACGAGAAGAGTATTGATGCAATAAATTCTAGTCACCCAATACATGCATGTGTGTATTTTCTCCGTTCGGAAGTATTTATCTTACTTGATTTTTCCGTCCGGAAGTATTATTCTTACTTGATTTTTTACAGTCTTCGATGTTGCACTTTGAACATTAATATCTATATTTATACATAGATACTCCCTCCGTCCCGAAATATTCATCCAGTTTTGATTTGTCTTAACCTATAGATTATTAATATATAATTTCTATAATTTTTTAATATACAAATTACAAGATAAAATGGATTAAAGAAGTGTATTGGATGGTGTGTAAAAATGAAAGTAGACAAATACTCTGGGATGGAGGTAGTATATTTTACCGAGTATAAAAACATTCACACAATACATGCATGTATATATTCCCTCCGTCCGGAAGTATTCTTCTCATTTTACTTTTCACGGTACCCGATGTTGCACAATTGGACTTTGACCATTAATATATATATTTATACATAGATATATTTTATAAAAAATTGATATTTTCAAAACTATGTTTCAATAATAATATATTGATATTAAATTTATTTATAATACAATGTATTTTTCTACATATCAGAATCAAAATTTACAAACTTTGACCAAGATCATTTAAGTACGGAAGGAGTATAAATATGTATTGCCATTTGCCACACGTAGAGATGAGCAAAAGGACCGATGCGGTCAGACTAGACCGGTCTTTGGAAAAGACTGCTACAGTAAAAGACTGGACCAGACTAGTCTTTTTAAAAACCCGGTCCTAACTAGTCCGATCTTTTTATCAAAATCAAAGATTAAATAAGACCACTAGTCCAATCTAGTCCGGTCGGTAGTCCAATCCGGTCCGGTCTATAGTCCAAACATATTGGGTCAAGATTGTAGTTTTGCGATGTTGTGTCAGGGTTACCAAATAGTCCATCAACTCTTTTTGCATCGGTCGAGATTGCATGTTGCACTTCGCTCGCTCAATCACTGATTCTCTGAGAACATCTCTGAGGACTAGCTCTACTGCTCTATGACAGAGTGTTGTGACGCTTGAGTTTATCTTGAAACTCCAAGAGATTACTTAGGGGATAGGGGAAGCCGAGAAGTATTAATCATTTCTAACTTGTATTACTCTATACTCCCTCCGTCCCACTGTCTTTGTCCACTTACCTTTTGGCACACCATCCAATGCACTTCTTTAATCCATTTTATCTTGTAATTTGTATATTAAAAAATTAAAAAAATTATATATTAATAATCTATATGTTAAGACGAATCAAACAAGATCACACATGACTATTTTTAGGCTTACACATTGAGAGAATTTGATGAGTCAAAGTGCTTAGATGAACAGTTCCAAAAGTCAAATGTGGACAAAGACAGTGGGACGGAGGTAGTATTATTTTTTTAACATTTTTATACGTACTACTCCATATATACTACTTCCTATATACTCCATAATTTATAAGTAATATGATTAGACTCTAGAGGACTAGTTTTTTGGACTAGTTCTAGTCTTTAGACCAATCTTTTACTAGTCTCGGACCGGTTCAGGTCTTTAACATGTCTTTTATTAGTCTTAGACTAGTCCTAGTCCTCTATAAATATTAAGGAACATTTGAGACTACTGGTCTTGGACTAGACTAGTCTCAAGGACTACTTCGGTCCCAATCTTTCAAGTCCAAATCCTAGTCGGTCTCGGTCAATCTTTTCGGTCCCAGTCTTTCTTCTCTAGCCACACGTGATCAGCCGATCTATCCAGTCGCCCATTGGTCAGTGTGCCAAATCAATGATGCTTCTCAAAGGGTAGGACCGTAGGAGTGGTATTTAAAAAAGTAAATTTATGATGGATGACAGTGCATTGAGTTAGAGCATTTTACACTGCCCTTATTTCCTTCCACATCATCACTTTTTAAATCATTTTCTTCTTAACTTTCCTCACCCTAATATTTTTTAGCAAAATTTTTATTTTGACTATATTTTTTATTTTATGACAAAAAAATCATACTCCATATTTTTTATTTCAATAAAAAATTTTTGAGCGCTTGATCAAAATAAATTGCTCGTTAAATTTTTAAATTTCACTTATTTAGTTTTAAACATTTCGTTAGTTCAAATTTTTTATTTTTATTTTTTATTTATATTTTTGCTCTTCAACATGCCTTTTGAAATTTGAGTTTTTGGCTATTTGATTTAATAAAAAAAATGACCATTTCATGTCCTTTGCTACGCATTATGTTAACGTGTCTTTCAAATCTTTTTTTGTTTTTCTTTTGTTTTCTGCACTTTTTTGTTGGTATATTGTCGTACATTTTGTTTAATACTGAGATAAACATTATATTTTACAAATTTATTTTACCGAAGTGAAATAATGATGAAAGTTCTTTCTCATTAGTGATGCTCTGAAAAAGGATTACGGAGCATCCATATATGAGATTGCTACCAATTTGTTTAACATTGAGATAAACATTTTATTTTTATTTAAAAATTAAAAAAATGATTTTTCGTGTGAGAAGTTCAATTTTTAAGGAGTTTAGGTACATCATTTTTCAAACTATAGAATCATAATTGGAATAATAATAATTTCAATTCTGCTGTTTGATAATACAAAAATATGTAGATTTAGATTTGGTGGTACCAAAAATGAATTGGAATTGAATAATTCATTTGGGATAATAGCATGGATGCCCCTCGTGGTTTACAAAAGGAGCGCCGAAACCCCCTCTACTTTCAAAAGTTATCTGTAAAACCCTGTGGTTTTTAAATACGGAGTAGTGCACAAACACCCCCTCTTGCCTATTTTACACATGAAACGACATTTCTGCCCTTGGTTTTTCTCTATCTTCAAATTTCACTCTTTTCTTTACATTTTTGTTATACAAATAAATAAAATAAAATATACAGCCTCTTTCTCACATTAAAATTTTTTATTTATTTAATTTTCAAAAAAATAATTTTTTTAAGAAAATGTTACAAAAATGAAATAAAATACACTTTTTCATTATAAGTAAAAGTAAAATAAATAAAATAAAAAATTGGATAACATATACTCACTCTATCTGTAATTAAAAATTCTAACTTATTTGTTTTTTAAAAGTAAAATATTT